TGGTGGTACCCCACAAAGGGGGTTTGGGGGGGGGGTGCTGCGCTATCGAGCATCCCCTCTGCTTGGGAGAGGGAAAAAAGGGGGAAAATTGGGAAGAAAAACTGGGAAAAACACTTTTCCGGAGCCGAGCAGCTCCTGCCGGGGGGAGGATCCGGCACCGGCCAACCCCAAGCTTCTCCCCAGCTTTTCAGCTTCCCCAAAACCCTTTTTTTTCCTCATTTTTCAGCATCCCCAAATCTATTTTCTTACCCATCCTTCAGCTTTCCCAAAAAGCCCATTTTTCACCCCATTTCTACGTTCGCCCCTCTTCGCCCCATCCCGCTGCAACCCCGGTTGCATCCATCATTTATTCCCTAAATACCCACATTTTGGGGGGTTCAAGGAACCCCAAACCGCCCCATCCTGGCTCCGGCAATGCGGAAAATCACCTGCAACAATTTTGCACCATTTTACCAAAGTTTGGACCCAAAACCAGCTCCGGGGAGGCCCCAGTTCCCTCCGGATGAGCCGAGGATGCAAAGCCAAGCCGGTTTTGCAAGCCGCCGCCTTTGATTTACACCCTAAAAAAAGCCCCAGGGCTGCAGCCGGGGCACCCCAAAAACGCTGCCGGGCTTTTTGCAAAGAAATAAGGATTTATTCCACAAAATAGTGGGAAAATGAGGATTTTTGGTGGGTTTTTTTAGCAAGAGCCAGCCGGGAGGGGTGGGAGATCTCCATCCCCAAGCCAGGGATGCTGTAGGAGCTGGGAATATTGCCTGATTTAGTATTTAACTCCCAAATTTATAACGCGGAGTAGGGAAAAAATAAGCAATTGGGCTAAAAAAGGGAAGAAATGGTTAAAAAGCAGCGATTTAGGGGTGTGCTGGCTGCAAGGATGCCTTAAAAGCTGTGCCTGGGTTTTCCCTATGGGAATCCCCCTCAATTTTTTGGGTCGGAGCATGTTTTCGGGGCCGAGCTCTGCGCTGCCGGGGAGGACGGACGGACGGACGCTGCATACCAATAGGTCCCATGACTTTTCGGGCTTGTTTAAAGCCTTTCTTGCTCCTGCTTCGCCCTCCCCAGCTGGTTTTCCCACTCTCCCCTCCTCTTCAATATGGGGTTTGTTCGCCGGCGGATGACGGCATCCGGATGGGGGGGTTCACGGATGGGACCCCTGGGATGGCAAGGGGGTGATGAGGCTACGGCATTTTGCAGAGAGAGGTTGTTTGGGGGAGTCCCCTCCCCAAAAAATCAGGTTTTTTCCACTTTTTCCCTGCCCTTTTTGGCTTAAAACCAGCGACGAGGAGCAATGCACGTGCACCGACCCCGTGATGCAGTTTTGGTGTTGAAGTTTTGGGGGGGGGGGGGGGGGAGGTTTGGCTGGACCAGAGCATCCAACGGGGCTGGGGGAGGGATGCAAAAATCCCCACCCCTGCAACTTTTGGGCCGACGCATGCAGTTTTGCAAAGGGTTGCATCGACCCAGCTGCAGAAGAGCTGCCGCCCCCCATGCGTGCATTTTTGCAGAGCATTGCATCAACTCAGCCACAGGAGGTCTCCCACCCCCCATGCATTTTTTGGAATGATGCATGCATTTTTTTGGAATGATGCATGCATTTTTGCAGAGGGTTGGTTGCATCAGCCCGGCTGCAGAAGGGCTCCCACCCCTCGTGCAGCGTTTGGAGGGCAATGCATGCATCTTTGCAAAGGGTTGCATTGCCCCGCCTCCCATGCCCGATGCACTTTTGGGGAGGATGCATGCATTTTCTGCAAAGCATTGCATCAACCTGGCTGCAGGAGCACTCCCACCCCCCCGATGCAGTTTTTGGAGCGATGCAAAGCATTGCGTATTTGCAAATTTTTGCAAAGATTTGCAAATTTTTGCATATTGCAAGTTTTTGCAAAGCATTGCATTGACCCGGCTGCAAGAGCGCTCCCACCCTCAATGCAATTTTGGGGGTGACGCATGCATTTTTGCAAAGCATTGCATTGACCTGGGTGTAGGAGGGCTTCCACCCTCCCTGCACTTTGGGGCGATGCATGCATCTTTGCAAAGGGTTATGCAAACAGCCCGCTTGCATGATGGTTGGGCATCCCAGTGCCGGTGCTGCATTTTGGGGGTGCTCAGCACAGCTCCGGGAGGGGGTTCCCCATTTTTCTCTGGGCTCGGAGGACCAGGCAGCCTGCCCGGACTCGGTGCCCCGCTGTCTCTCCCCACCCCAAGGTCTGCTGGCGGGGGTGAACATCACCAGCCCCACGCCGCTGGTCCGCGGCACGGCGGGCAAAGCGGCGCTGCTGTCGGTGCGCTACGCCAGCGCCAGCGCCGACAAGCCGGTGGTCAAGTGGCAGGGGGAGGGGGGACAAACCCTCCCCCTC